CCCAACCAGACATAATCAGTCGATGCCTCCTTGACTTTCTCCTGGATCCATCTCTGATCATCCATGTTGGTGATGGTGACCAGGTCATGGTGGTGATCTCTGCAGTAGTACAAGGCGTCCTCCCAGGTTTTATTTTCTTTGATCAGGATCACTTTATCTGTCACAGAATTGATCAACACAAATATTACAATATCATAATAAAGAACAAATTTGACAAAAACAGTTATGTCTTTGGTCCTAAACCAGACGTGGTAGAGTAAATAAAAAATGTCCTCCAGTAGGAGCAGCACTACTTCACATGAATTATTGTCAAGTAAAATGAAAAGTAGTTGCCTAAGAAATGACTCAAGTATAAACATTTGATAAAATAGATACTTTAGTACTGAGTAACTGATCATAACATCTGATTTATCATTTCAAGATGACGTCATGATACTAGCAAAAATATAAAGGTGTGTGCAAATTGTCATATTTTGAAGACAAACATAATTGAAATGATCCAAATGTATAAAATAAATTTAAAATAAAACATTTAGGCAGAAGAAACACATTTCTAAATAAATTTTCCTCAACATATAAACTCATACTAAACAGTAGGAACAGCTGGAAGGACTTTACCTTTTTATAACATATGTTATAAATAGGTAAAGTCCTTCCAGTGTTAAATGTATTTTTACTTGACCTCCAAATGGCTCAGCAGGTCAAAAATAACATGAGAACAATAGAGTTTGTGTTGGAACAGGAACTGCAGGTTTGTTTCTGGGTCCAGAGAGTTTTTAAAATATGTTTGGCCTTTATTCAATGAATATCAACAAATGTTACTCTATAGAGAATAATATTATTTTATAATAATATAGCTCAAGTAAAATTACAATATATTAGGGTTTAAAACTACTACTGAAGGTACTTTTAACCCAAAAAACTAATTAAAGTAAATGTGAATGTACTATGTGCCTCTGATACTGATCAAATGTTGAGGCTTTTGTTTGATGCAATGACATTATCTGTGACATGCAAGAATTAAAACTTAAAACATGAATTAGAAAACTATTCACTGTAATAATGTTTAAATAAACTTATATTTGAACTAACGACTCACCATCATAACAGATGAAGGGTTTTTTATTATCACAGCTCACATTCGTCCATCTGCCTTCACCATCAAACTTAGTCATGGCACATTGACCACTGTTGGGATTGTGATTGTTAAATATTGGATTCCAGTGTCTGAAAGAGAAACTGCTTCCATCTGACCACCTCCAGGTGTCTCTGAACAGACCAATGTATGTGTGATCACTTGTAGAGTTCATCAATTTCTTCACTTCTTCATCCTGTAGCTGCTTCGTTCCACTGATCAGGTCTGTGTGATTCTCTCTGCAGTAACTCTGAGCTTCCTGCCAGGACTTCTCCTCTTTAATCAAGTGATATTTATGGGTTGTATTAGTTTCTGTGGAGTAATCAAACATATTTATGTTTATCTTGTTTGGACAAAAAACATATAAAAATAATTCATAAATAGATTAATATTCTCACCATTATAGCAGAGGAAATGACGTAAAGTTTGGCACTGGTCGTCTGTCCATTTGAGATATTTATTCACAATCACACAGTTCTGATATATTACTTGACTTCCTCCATCATTTGGTTCGTTTGTGTCCCACGTTGTCTCACTTTCATTAAACTCCACTCCAGGCAGAGACCAGCGCCAAGTTCTGTTACCATGTTTTTGATCATTCAGACCAATCCAAGCTTCCCTCTGATCTCCAGCTGAGATGTTGATGAGTCTCTTCATGTCCTTCATGTTAGTCACTGTGACCAGGTCAGTGTGTTTCTCTCTGCAGTACTGCTGAGCTTCAGTCCAGTTCTTATTCTCATTAATGTAGTGAAACTGATAGAGCTGACAGTCAATGAAACAACACTGAGCTGAAATATGAAACATGTTTTTTATTTAGTACTTAATAATGACTGCTAGCTTAAATCACTTTGTCTTTACAAAAACAAAACAGGTGTTCTCATTTTAATTTCTGTGTGACAAGTCATCCAGATCTCCTCAGAGTCCAACTCTGGGTAATGTGACAGAAACCAGAGAGTCTAGTTGTGTTTCAGATCAACTTACCCATCAGGAAGAGCAGAATCAGACTCCACTGCATCTTTGCTGTCAGATGAATTATTTTCCTCCAGCAGTTTGTCTCTGTTGGATGAAGAACATTTAAACAGTGAAAAGCTGCAGCTCTTCCTCCACTGGACAGAGAAATAACATTAGATAATTTTTCACAAGTGATGTTAATAGAAGGGATGAACATCATTCATCTTTTTTGTTGAATCAGTATTAAATGTTGTGTTTCAGACACACGTGTCTGAAGAGAAGCAATTTGAATATTTGTCATTTAAATATTCAAACCAGGAGGAATAACATTTTTGCCATGAAAACACAATATGAAATATTTTAGGGCAGTGGTTCCCAAAGTGTGTAGTGCGCCCCCTTGGGAGGGTGCAGTGTCATTGTAGGGGTGCACAATGAATGAAAAAATAAATAAATAAATAAATAAATAAATAAATAAATAAATAAATAAATAAATAAATAAATAAATAAATAAAAAAAAAAAAAACCTCTCCGGTAGCTGTTCATGTTTTAACCCCATTTTTCATAGACTTTTGTTGTATGTAGGCTATTTATGATAGCATAATTGAATATAATCACAAATAAAAAAGAAATATGTCTGAAATAACACTGACAGCAAAGAAAACTTCTACAGTATAGAACTGAGAAAAAGAAAACCAGTTACACAAAAGTGTTTCAAAGTGTTTTGTTGCAACCTAAAGAGTAAATTAAACTTCAGTGGAGTTTGAAAACAAAATATGAGTTTAGGTTTATGTCTGGTTGAACGATGTGTGATTTTATTGTAATCCATAGGGGTCCCAGAAAATCTTTGGGAACCACTGCTAGGTGAAGATAAGATGATAAATAAATATATATATATACATTTTCACATAATAAGGATATCATTTTGGTATTCAATTAAAAATACATTTTAATGAAAAACAGTTTTATTCTTGGCTTGTTTCCTGATTGACTGGGGGAAGTGTACATTAGTAACATGTGAGGGTGGAGGCAGCAGTGGGGCTTTGAGTGGACAGGAGATTATGAAGGGTTATGACTAAACAGGAAGTGAACTTAGTGGAAAATGGTGGCAGAGGGAAGGAACACACCGACAGACGGACGATGATGCAGCTTTTTTCAGATAAAATGTAAAAACTTTAATCTGAAGAAATTGTCCCTGAAGGGCACCTATCTAGATTTTATGTTGTTTGAGATTAATAAGAGCTTTAATTAATGCAATTGTCTGTAAAGATACAATATGTACTATAAAAATTCAAATAAAACAAATTTGAAAATATTACATTTTATTCACTACAAAGTTAAAGTCCCAGTATCATGAAAATGTTCTGTAGTAATTCTATTAAAATCAGATAAAAGTCCATCAGACCATCAAACTACTGACCTACAGCACTGACCTCACACTTACATGCAGACGACAGTAGATTTGAGGCTGAAATAAATGAGGTTTTAAATAACATCATTAACCAAATCGCAGGTTGTTTTAAAGATAAAAGATCTGTTATGTACACAGAACATCAATATCCAGGATTATAAGTTAATGTTTACCTGGAGTCATCTCTAACTCCTAAACCAGTTCACCATAACCATACTGACTGTTCTTGTTCAGAATTATTAACGATATTATAAAATAAACTCTTACCTTTTCTGAATTTTGTTTCCTTTACTGCGTGTCAGGACTGTAAGCCCAGAAGTGACAGATTATGATCCAGCTTTGGTAAATCAACCTTTGTCAACTCAAAGGCAGTCTAGGTGTGTTTAGTCTAGTTTGAGAAAGGTTTATTTGACTTGTTGTTGGAGCAACTGGAAATATCAAACCTACGCAGATGCAAATATTGATATAAAATCCTCTTGTTCTCAACCAGGAAGTTATTTTTTCCCCAATGCAAAACTAGTAGATCATGAACAGGCTAGAAAGTGAGTCAACAGTTATATTAATTTAAAATTGTACTTTTATCACTTTTGGTGTAGAGTGTGTCTCAAGAGTATTCACACCCCTTACACAGGTACAAGCAAACAGGATGACCTCAAAGGTCTGCCAGGCCCACAAACATTAAAGGCTCAGTTAAAAATAAAGATATGCTAGGCTGTAGACATTTAAAAACAAAGTTTCAAATTAATTTCAAATGAACAGGAACCTCTAACATTCTTTCTTTCTAGGTCTAATTCATCTGTTTTCATCAACAGATGGAACCTAGACCAATGAATATGAATTACTGAATATGATTATTAGCTTAAACATTCTTATCAAATAAACTCTTACCTTTTCTGACTTTTGTCTTCTTTACTGTCTGTGGGTCAAACGTGATGAGACGTATGATCCTTCTTCTCTAAATCATCTGTTGTCAGCTGAGGCACTTTTAGTCTTGGTGGAAAACTGACAAAGTAGAATTAGAAGTTTTTCCTGAAATCCTTATCCGTTCTCTTTCCTGCCATAAAATCATCCCCTCCAAGAGATGAAGGACAGATCA